CACTAGTCTGCAGGATTTCGAGAACTGCAAATGGCACTTGCGAATTTCTTCCTAGTTTCTTTTAAATTTATTATATGCACTGTTATTATACTGAAAAATTTTCCAATAATTCTTAATCTGTAAATAACTTTTTTTATACATATAGCAGCTTTGAACTCGCGAAGGAATTGGTGAAGCCCCCCAAAAAAACTAAACAGCATACAGAAAAAAATGGCTAATTACTTAGTGCAAACAAATCGGCTACAGCTAATTTGTGTCTCTTATCTGGCTTGTCAAAGTTACTTCTTTTGTCATGACTTTACATTATTTAGATAGACTTTACTGAATTTTATAATTAACTCACTGTTGTTTCACGTTGCTGACCTTCTACCTCATCTCAACAGAACAATTTTAAAAGGCTTTGTCAAAAAGCTGCCGTTATTCGTTCTGTTTTCGTTTTCGCTTGAAAAACCAAAATACGATAGTTGGTAATAATAGTATGCTGCCACTTCTATTATAAAATGTTTTTCTTTTTTTTTAAATTTTGGTAAAATGAAAACGTGTGCAATTGAGCTTTTCGTTACGTTTCGGGTTTGGCTAAAGCGAGTTTAACGCTGAAAAATTTAAGATCAGTGTGAAATATTTTTAAAAGTAGTCTGTAGTCGTAATTTTAGTCGTGTGCTTTTCTTTTATTATTCGTTGACCCTTGATATATTTATATAAAAGTACTGTTTCATCGAATAAGAATAATATTGTAAAATTGCGAAACGTATTGGAGTGTGCTATTATCGTTGAAGAACATAACCTTTTTTAAAGGATTTGTCGTCATTTAATATTTTTGCTGGCTGAAATACTACTGTGCAGTTATTTAAGCTCAGGGTGAGAAAGTGATATAGAAGATTTATTGGGCCTTACCAAAAGCAGCTAGTAGAATCTAAATTCACGTTAAAAAATTAAAAATTTTGCTTTGAAGAAAAAAAAATCGCCAAAGTATGTCAATACTTTTTATGCTTTCAATGCTACCAATAGTAAGTGTACTATGATTAAATTGAAAAACTTAAACAGAATCGTTTTTTCTTTGATCGACAAGGTAAGAGAGACAGTCTAAACTTTATTATATTAATTCTCAATTTTGTTTGTATAAAATTGCAACAACAGTGAAAGGTAATACGTTTTGATAAAATTACCGCTTGGAAAAGTACATTACTGAGCTAAAATTACAAGAAACTAAACCTCTCATTGTATCTTTTACTGTGGTTGTGCTCAGTAACTTTTGTTCAAAGTTGCGGGAGCCACTGACATTTTTGAATTATTTTTTGTCATATGCCATTATGCTGAAATGTTTGTAAAAATTTAATCACTTAACAGTAACAAAAGTGCCTCAAAAACTAGACCTAAAAGTAATGAATAATAAATCTAAAATGTGCATTGTTCTGTAATTAGTATAATGAAATTTTAATTTAAAGATTGTACTTATTTGGCTTGCTTATTAAATTTTCTCAAATGTTTTACAAATAAAAAAAGCGTTTTGAAAGTCAAATTGTTTGGTATCGAAGTAATAAGAAATAACAAAGTCTAAAAATTGACCATAATCGCATTTATTTATAGTTTAGGGTCACTATGAAAGTTTTTTACATACGAACTTGGCATTCAGCACTGCTAGATAACAACTTTAAAAATTATAGTTTATTTATTAATAAAGATCATTATTTGTCTAACACTGAAACAACGTTTAAAACTTTTATTACATAAAATAACCAGTGTACAATAAGAGAACCGCAAGCAACTCTATCGATAACCATCCTCCAACAATGCGAATGTCTCTTTAAAATAGACTGCTTATAATATATACAACACTTTTGGCAAATTATTTAATCAGCTATTATTAGCGCTAAGCAAAGATTTTCGGGTAAAAGGTGGCATAGATTTCAGAAGTGATGCAGTTAAACTGCTGTTGATTTGTGATAATAAGTACTCATTTGGTTGCACATCAAAAAATCTTCGCAAACTTACAAATCTGTTTCGGCTGAAGGTTTTAAAAAACGATCTGCTTAACAATTTCTCATCAGTGGTTCATCAAAGAAATTTATAGATTTAGAAGGCTTTTTCAACATACTGAACTGTTTTGTTATGAAGTAATAGATGTTTAAAAGTTTTGTAATAGTGATGTTGAACAGTAACAGTTAGCAAAATAACAAATACTCTTAACAGGTATCTTATAAAAAGCAGACAGCTTACAGAATGACTTTATTACTTCTTTTTTATAGTGATTTAAGCTTCTTCTGAAACGGTAAACTGACAGCCGAAAATTAATTGAAAATTTGTTGAACTCATAATATGCAAATTAGAATACATTGGCAATTACGAGTGTGCGCGCTAAAAATAGGCTAAAATAACACGATGAAGAGTATAGAAAACGAAAACCGCAACGAGTTGAGAAACAACTCAGATCATAATCTTTTATTTGGAATTCCTAAAAGTGGAGTATTTTTTAACAAATATTTTTTTTAATTGTACCGCCATCTGTTCGTTGTTATTGCTTTATAGTATCAGTTTTTTACTTCTTCAAAGAGTAATGTGCTGATAATACTGCTCTCCAATATTTTACTTTGTTACAATAAACAGTATAATAGACTGTAGATAAAACTAATAAACGTTTGAAAAAGTCTTTGTTTATACACCAGCAAAATACACAGTACTTAAAAATGGTATTTGTTATAAGTGTATTTGACTTAGAAAAAAAA